GTGGGGGGGAGGGGTGTATGTGTGTGGGTGGGTGCATATTGTGTGCCTGTGTGCATAGGTGTGTCCGATCATATAGGTACATGTGTGGAGACCAGATGCTGACATCAAGATGTCTTCCTCAATTGCTTCTTTACTTTATGTTTTGAGACAAGAGTCTCTCACTGGATCTGGTGATCACTGCTTTGACTAGACTGGGTGGCCAGTGAGCCTCTAGGATCTGTCTGTTTCTACTTTCATTCCCCCACCCCCACCCCTGCTAGAGCTGGGGGTATAGCCAAGATGGCCTATACCTGGCATTTAAGTGTGTGCTGGGAATCTAAATTCCATTTTGCACAGCAAATACTTTACCCACTGAACTATATCCCTAGTTCTGTATGTTTTCATTCTAAAAATATGTGAACTCTTAAATCTTCCTCTCTTCTGACACAGCCTAGGAGGTTCTGTGTTCAGACTGTAACTTCAGCTCTGTCCCCTTTCCCCAGTAGCACCATGCTCTTTCCAGTTCCCAGGACATCTCAATCCCATTCTTTCCCCAAGAACCTTTATAGACACCTCTTTCCTCCCAGCCTGCGTTACCACTATGGTCCCCTTGATAGATTGCCTCCCTTCTTCCTGGATCACCTCAGCTGTCCATTCCCATCTCTCTTCTCCAGCTCCAACAGTACCATTGCCACATCTGCAGTAGGAGCCATTGTATAACCTGTGGCATACCTGGCACTCGGCACATACTCCTCAAATGACAGGAATTTCTCCTACAGCTTTTCAGGTGCTATCTTATTCTCACATACCTTTATATTCTGAATGGAAACATTTCTATAAATAAGGAAACCATCACTGTTGGGGTTTAAATGGGAAATGCTCCTGCCGCACACACACACACACAGACACAGACACAGGCTCCTGAGTTTAATTACTTGGCCCCAGCTGTTGGCACTGTTTAAGAAGGTTGTAAAAATTTAGGAAGTAGTGCCTTACCAAAGGAAAGTCACTAAGGGTGGACTTTTTTTCTTGGGGGGGGGGGGTCAGGATATCTTTATTTTTTAAAAATTCTTTAATTACCACTCATATTTACATATTAATTCCCCCCATTCCCTCGCCCTCCTCCCATGTTCCCCACCAACCCCCCCAACCCATCCCCAACTCCTCCCAAGGGACAGTGAGGCCTTCAAAGAGACCTTCAAAGTCTGTCATATTGTTTGGGGGAGGGCCCACGTCTTCCTTGCTGTATCTGGGCTGCAACAGTATCCCTCCATAGGGAATGGGCTCCCAAAGTCCATTTTGCTCTAGGGTTGAAGACTGGCTCTGCTGTTAGACATCCCATAGACTGCCCTGGCCTCCAACTGGTACCCACATTCAGAGGGCTTGGTGGCCTTTGAGGGCTTATAGCCCAGCTTCATTTTGTGTTCACTCTGTGCTTCCTGACTGTGGGTGTGGTGTGACCAATGGACCCTCCTATTCCTGCTGCCATGCCATCCCCAATAAGATGGTAGGTACCTCTTCTAACTAAAGTCCAAACACACCTGTCCTTTCTTTAGTTGCTTCGTGATCAAAGCAATAAGAATAGCTATTAACGTGTTTCCTCACATAGGCAGTTCAATGTGACTATAGATAAGGACTGATAATCGAGCATCTTGAAGTTCAGAACTCATTCTGCTAATGCTCACTTTCTAATGAACCCCTGAGTCTATTAAGTGCCACCATATCATTGAGAATCAAGTCATCGACTGTTAATAACTTGGCAAATATGTTATTGAAATGAAGCATGAGGCTACAGAGAGAGCTCAATGTATGCACAAATGCACAGGCGCTGGCTTTGACTCCAAGCAGCACAGGGGAAAGAAAGGATGGGCTCTGAAACGGTCGATGTACTTTGAATTAAAATAATAATTATGAAACTTATGGAGTCTCAGAAAGCACTTGTTCTCTTGGGACAGTGAAATATCACACCGTAACGATGTCTTCAAATCACAGCAAAGAAATTCCACTATGTAAACTCTAAGTAATTAACTTGAAGAACATCCAGTAGTTTCATACTGTTTCTTTAGTTTGGTTTTCCTTCATTATAAAAGATATGCACATTTTAAAATTTGGTCTAAATACCCCATTCCTGACCTTTGTAAATAATTATTGGAGTATTACTAATTTCCAAAGCATCTGGAGCTTCAGGTTTTTTGAAAATACATTTTTAATTAAAATAGAACGACACCATTTTCCCCTTCTATTTCCTCCATCCCCTCTCAGAAACCCTCCCCTGCAACCTCTCTTATGGCTCCTGACTCTGAAATTAATAGCCTCTTTTTGCTTGATTATAATTGTTATATACAGATATATATGCACAATATATAGAAATACAATCTGCTGAGTTCATTTTTGTTGTTTGTATGCATATGGTTTCAGGACTGACCATTTTGTCTTGGAAAACTAGGGGGGCTCATTCCTGGGAGGACTAATTCTCCCTCTCCACCTGTCATTAGCTGCTAATAGCTCTTTGTCTTGGGATGGAACCTCATGAAATTTCCTCCATTCCACATTAACATGTCCACTGATGTTCATCCATTTCTAGGAGAGAAAACCAACATACAGGAGGTCTGATGTGAAACAGTCTCTCCCAGGCATCATTTCAGTTGCTTAATCTTTAAAAGAGACCCTTCTTTATAAAAATGAGCTTATTTAATTATTGATGAGATGTGATATTTACTTATTTATTTGTTTATTCATTTATTTATTTATTTTTGAGACAAGGTGTTACTATGTAGACTTGGCTGTCTTGAACTCACTATATAAACCTAAATCTGTCTGGCTTCCAACTCACAAAGATCTTCCTGCCTCTGCTTGCAGTGCTGGCATTAAAGGTGTGCACTACCATGCCTGGCTCAAGGTATACTAAAATTTTACAGTGAATTTTAGCAGAGTCAGTGTAGTAGCCTGGTTACAAAAGCCACATGGCCAGTCCTGATTTCCCAAAATCTCATCAACCCAAGTTCATTTTTACTCTCTTCTTCATGTTTATATATCTGAATGACTCTAGTTATAGCTTGGATCTCACAAGTCTTCATATGCTAATGACTTGGTCGCCAGCCTGTGGAAGGTAGGGTATAACAATAACTCTTTCTGCCAGCCGCCTGAGTTCCACCACCATGTTAGGTCCCTCAAATAACGCAGAGATTAATATTAGTTACAATACTTCTGGCCAATGACTAGGATTTCTTATTTGCTAGCTCTGTCTTAAGTATCAACCATAACCATTAATCTATATATTTTATAAAGACTTATCTTATCGAGGACGCCAGTGGCATGCATCCTGTCTTCCCGGGATCACATGGCAACGCCTCTCTACTACATTTCCCAGAATCCTCCTCCTCTCCTAGTCCCACCTATCTTGCTTCCCTATTGGTCAACAGTGTTTTATTCATTAACCAATAAGAGAGACAAATACACAGAAGGACTTCCCCCATCAGTAGGGAAAACTTTAGGAGATGAGGACCAGTGAGTGAAGACAAAACATTAGTTGTATACCCTTGAAGAGAACATGGAGGCCTGGCCTTTCCTCTCTCCCTCTTTTTTACTATCCACCACTGCTGCCTGCCTGGATGTTCTGCTTCATCCAAGTTCAAAACAATAGGGCCACCTTCCCACAGGTTGCAATATTTGAGCCAAATAGATGCTTTCTCCTTAACAGCTTATTGTTGACAGGAAATGCAGTTATTATATCAGACTAAGAGTTAACAATCTTGCCTCAGATAGAGGCATGTTAGGCTTGTGGCTGACATGACTCTGATAGGTCAGAGAAAAAGAGATGGAATGTAACATGTAGATGAACATGAATGGACATGTGTCTTTCTTTAGGTTGCTGTAGCAACATGTACTGACTGGGTGGCTCATGAACAACAGAAATTTACTTCCCACAATCCTGGAAGCTGGAAGTCCTATATCTGACTGTTGTCTAGTGAAGGTCTCTCCTGGGTTATAGATACCTATCTTCTTGTGTCCTTACGTCAAAGAAAGAAAATAAGAACCCCCCCCAGGAACCCACTTATAAGGGCACTAATCCTATTCATGGGGGCTCCACTCTCATTACATAATTGCCTCCCAACAATTCAACTCCTCTTATCATCACAAAGTAGTTAGGACTTCAACATATAAAGTTTAAGGGACACATAAGCATCCAGTCTTACAGTGTGTTCCAATAAAACTGTATTTATCAAAATAGGTCATGGACTTGATATGTTCTATGGATTAAAGATTGTCATTATTAAATGATCACTCCATGGATAGACTTACAAGGGGAAGTTAGCCACAGGTGATTCAATAACTGTGAATATCTGTCAGGCAACTACTAAAGGTCAAGTTTTCCACGTAGTGCCATAACTAATCACCATACCTAATCTGTATTTAGCAGGTGTGAAAACTGAGACTACGTGCCTATTAAGTTGTGTAGCAAGACCATGAACTCTTTCTCTTCTTTTGGGTTCAGTCTTCATTCGCATAAGCCTGAGCCAAAAAATATAGGTTTGTATCTTGTGTTGTTGATTTTTGGTTTTGGAACTGTATACTATAGAAAACAGCTATGTCCTGGTTAGTTTTTTGTCAACTTGACATGAAGTAGAGTGATCTAGGAAGAGCAAATCTCAAGTGAGAAGATGCCTCCTTCATCAGATTGGCCTATAGGCAAGTTTAGGGGCACTTTCTTGACTAATGATTGATTTGGAAGAACCCAGATCACTGTGGGTGGTGCCAAACTTCCACAAGTGATCCTATGCTGTAAAAGAAAGCATGTAATAACAACTAATGGGGAAAGGAAAAAATGCTATGAATTTGAACGACAGCAAGGAGGGGCACATCTGAGGGTTTGGAGGGAAGGAAAGGAAGGGATAAATATTGCAATAATGTTACAATTTCAAAAAGAGATCATTTCAATATAAGAAAAAAATCAAGCCAAGTGGGTGATATAGAAGTATTCCTTCATAGCCTCTGCTTCAGTTCCTGCCTCCAGGTACCTGTTTCTACTCCTGCCTGACTTCCCTCTATGATGGACATGTAAGTAAAACAAAAGGATTTTGTCTTAGTTACTGTTCCACTGCTGTGAAGAGACAACATGATCTAGGCAACTCTTCATGAAAGAAAGCATTTAAATGGGAGCTTGCTTACAATTTCAGAGGGTGAGTCCATTATCACCATGATGGGAAGCAGACAGGCTTGGCATGCTGGAACAGTAGCTGAGAGCTTAACATACTGATCCAAACAAGGACACACCCACCGCAACAAATCCCCAAATCCTTCCCAACTGGGGTCCAAGAATTCAAACATATGAACTTAACACGGACCATTTTCATTCAAACCAACACACCTTTCCTCCCCAAAGTTGGTTTTGATCAGTGTTTTATCACAGCAACAGAGAAGTAAACTAGGACACTCCGCATAGTGCATGGTTTCCACCTACATCAGGGAGAGGTCGTAACTGTTAAGAAATACACAATAGACTAGAGAGATGACTCAGAGTAAAGTGCTTGTCTCACAAGTGTGGGGGGCCTGAGTTCGGTTATCTGGAACCCACATAAAGTCAGACATGGCAATCTGTAATCCCAGTTCTCCAATGGTGAGAGAGAAGGTGGGGATGGGCAAATCCTGAAGTTCGTGGGCCATCCACCCTGGCTTATGTAGCAGGACAAATCTGTCTCAAACAAGACAGAAGGGAGCACGAAGAGCCAACATCCTCTGGCCTCCACATGCATACTGTGACACAGGTACAGCACATGAAAACAACACACATATGTGTACACATCCCACACACACAATAATTTTGGCAGGTGTGGTGGGGGTTTCAAGACAGGGTTTCTCTGTGTAGCTTTGGAGCCTATCCTGGCACTCGATCTGGAGACCAGGCTGACCTTGAATTCACAGAGATCCGCCTGGTCTCTGCCTCCCGAGTGCTGGGATTAAAGGTGTGCGCCACCAACACCCAGCCTTCACACAACGAATTTTTGAAAAGAAACAGACAACAAACATTATTTAGGGCAAGATTCTCTGCTCACTGCAAGTATTAGCATCCAATGTGGCTCAACAGAAACTTAAAAGTTTCCAGAGAATTCCTCCAGAGATTCTAATTCATGATTCACATTTAGGTCAAGTTCCATTTCCACTATAAATTTAATGAAAAGACACATAACATTATAGTTGGTTTTCTTGTTCCTCATTGGACATCACTATTGTTTTGGTGTTTACTAAAGGGAATCTGTCAGGGAAGCATAAATGCCCAGGAATCAATTATGGCGAAACCTAATGATTACCTTCCTTCTAACTGGTTAATCAAAATGGGTGATCTAGTGGCTGGTGAAATTCTTCTCAACTGGGAAGAAGCTGGATCGATTTCCTTTGCTGTTATATGGTGGTTTGGAGCAACCTACTGGCATTTCAAAAGAGTTTAATGAATGGGAAGGTGTTCTGTTTCCCATAAATACTAAGCAGGAGGACAAACTAAATATAAAACATATTATTTTTAGTGAACCATCCTTCAACCCTTAGTGGTTTAAAAGCAACAAGCAAAGTGTGGGTAAAAGATAAATTCTGTTTGCACATGAGGCATAATAAGCGAGGAGGTGTAGCATGTTGGTAAGCGAGGGCCATTCTGCACCTGTTCTAGAAGATAAATACACACTTTGTCTTGGAGCCAGTCCATAAATCAAATTCCTTTCGAACAGGCAGAGGCCAGCCTGGTGCCGGCTCAGCCGGTGTTGAAAAAGAAAGGCAAAGAAGAAGGACTCACTGCTAGCACAAAACTGTAACCATTCTTCGATGCAACCATTCCCTCTCTGCCTGAACTTGATGTCAAGGTGATTCAAAAGCAAGTACTTGTTTGATTTAGCAAAAACGATCCATTGTATTCCATCCTCTGAACCAGAGACAGCCAAGGACTTTTATTTGAGGCCCTCACTGATCCAACTTTTCAGTAGAAAATGAAGCGAAATGAGAGATGACCCACCAGCTAATCTGTGCATATTAAACAAACAAACCAACATTAGTCTTCTGACCTAAGCTATTCACCCACAACTGATTTGAGCTATTGTTGTTCTCTGTATTAGTAATTTGATTTTTTTTTCTGTGTTCCAGACTCCTCTATAGTGGGATTTAATCTACTGAGTGGGTGCAAATGAGTTAAAATATACTCATTTCAAAAAGCACAGAAAAGACATGAATGTTGTAAGCAACAAAGGATTCTACTCTAGTGTGGAAATTACCAAGGTGAATTGGGACAGAACCCTATGAAAAATTAAAGCTATTTTCCTTAGATTACTCCTTGGAAATTGCTTCTGTTTGTGTGACATTGTGAGTCACTGAAGCCTCACTCCTGTAGATTCTATTGCATACCCCACTCTTAAGTATAGAGGAAGAAAATATGGAACTCATGCTGGTTTTATTGTTTTTAGTTTGGTTTGCTTTAAAAAGAAAAAGAAAAAAGAAAGAAAAAGAGATGGGTGGGAGTGGAGACCTTGGTTCCCTTTCTAGCATTTCCCTGTATGATGTTGGATGATAGTCTTTACCATTCTCTCCTCTCATTCAGGACAAACAGAGGAGACTGGATTAAAACAGAATGGCATAGTGTGCTCAGTCACACAGGTGTGACTGTCAGAACCATCTCTGTCCTCCCCATGCTTCAGTGGAAGAAGTTCTAGTTCCTTTCCTGGAGGCTGTGAGAGCAGTATACATTACAGGGGCCTATACTCAGGTGACTATGAGGATGTTACATTTAAAAAAAAAATAAAAAAGTTTGATCTGGGCATGGAGATGCACAGACCTTTAATCCCAATACTCAGGAGGCAGAGTTGGGCAGATCTGTGTGTTCAAGGCCAGCCTGCTGGCATGCTAAGTGAGTTTCGGGACAGCCAGTGCTATGTGGAAAGACTCTGTCTCAAAAAAAAAAAAAAAAAAAAAAAAAACACAAAACAAAACAAATAACCAATAACTGAAGTGATTGCTGATCATTGAAAACAAGGTGGTTTTAGGAATAAAGCCACCCATCTTTTTCTGTTGAATTGGATAATCCCCTCACACCCCCCAACACCACTCCTTGCTCACCTGTGGGTTTGCACATAGCACATTCCTTCTCCATCATTTAGTACTTTGACTTAATGAGTTCCTTTAAATATGGGTCTGAGACAGCTGCACCCCTTTCCCCAACTGGCCTTATACCCCACCCTGCTTCCTTTTCTTCTTTGAACATATCCAGCTTACCAAGGAACACATTCTGTTATGTTTCTCCTTCCCTGTGT